CATCTTCCATTGCTTAATTGCTATGACAAGTCAATCAAATACAAATATCAACAAGTTTAATGAAAAGTGCCTTTTAAAATAATGGTCCTACTAATAAAATAGTGAATATTCTGTTGCTTGTTTGCTCAGTGGAGGCTCCAAATATGAAAGGACTCTACCCAGTTCCTTCTTCATTCTAGTTGTAGGGCTCAATAGCAGTATTAATCCATAATTGCTAAAATCTGGGTCAACTGGTGGTATCTTTCTTCCCCTTCTAGCCAGATGTTTTCTATAAGTTGGAATACTTCTGGAGCTGGGCAGATAGTTTTGGAGCCCCAGCCTGAATTTGAGCTCCGAGAAGGCTGGCTGTGGACTGTTAAAAGGCACTCCTAACAACAAGTGGTCTTCAGGTCACTGAAGGGAATGAGTGGTCAGTGGCACTGGGAACTCTGAGGAGAGCAGGAAGGTACATAGTTGAGGTGACTTAGAAGGTGAGTGGTCTACTGGAGCAGGATGGCCACAGGTTGAGAGAGAAGGGGATAAAGTGGAGGGCATGCTCAGAAAGAGGAATTGTTCAGAATGTCTGGACTACAGATTGTATAGTGAGGAAACAGTTTAGTAGGGAGGGGCTAAGGATTTAAAGACCTACATATAATCTTGAATGCCAAGCCATGGAAGATATTTCTGCAGAGAATCTAGTCAGAAGTGTGTTTTAAGTGATTCTGGTGGTGGAACATGAGGTGAGATTGACAGCAGAATGATCTAGAAGGTGCTACTCCAAGAGTTCGGAGGAGTGAGGAGAACTCAGAGAAGCTACTTCAGATGGAAAGGGATGGGTGGGACTTTAAGAGGTAAAAAACAACATAAGCTGCTGATAAGAAGTAGGAGAAACTTCGAAGTTGTAACCCTAGGCCATTAGAAGAATATTTTTTATATATATAGACATTCTGAAGAGGCAAATTTCAAAAGGCAGGAAGAACCAATTTCTGCTTGGGAGGGTTGGCTACACAACCCTATCTAAGTACAAAGAAGAATCACTTCTGCAAATCCCCTTCCTTAAGTGCACTTTTATAGTTTATGTCTTTGGTGGAAAAGTTACACATTTAAATTTTACCTGGTCCAAGAGCAAGAAAGACATCTGAGGTGGGAGTTTTGCAGCACACCGGCTGTGTAGGCATCTATAAAAACAAGGTGCCCTGACAAAAATGCTCATCCTGTGCAAGACTGAAAACCTGGTCATGCACATGGGGTTTATGGCAAAACCAGAGCCAACTAACTGCAATACATTTTCATGGGAATGGATTCAGACCAGATGGGGTTTTATCATAAGTGTGTAACTGCATAGAGTCCCGGTTTTGTTCCAAACAGCCAAAGGTAGGGAAGGCACACTGTGAGTTTGGAGGCCTGAGTTCTCTGAGGCTGACACTAGGTTGGGTGGGGGTGAGGCTGGGGCATCCTGATCTAGAGCCAGCAGGTGAAATGTGTGCCAGCAAGCTCCTCCGGGAGGCAGCGGATTTTCCTCTCTTGCTTGCTCCCTGTTCCATGTCTATACCTGCTCTTTTCAGTCCGGATACCCAGGCCCATGACTTTGTTGTCTGCAAAGTATTTTTCCATTTTCAAGGGGGGAGTATTTCAGAAAATTCCCTCAAATGCCTTGACCCATTAACACAGCAATGATTTAATACTGTCAGAGAAGTTGTTGGTTTCCATTTGATGTTTTTTTTTTGAAAGATTTATTTATTTATACAAGCACTGGGGTACAAACCAGAGGTGTGGGAGGGTGAGAGGATTCATCAGAGACAGAGCGGGGAACAGAACAGGTAGATGGACCAAAATACACTGCTGCGCAGAGCAATGGGCACAACAGGAGAGGTCTGCTGCACCATGTAGGCTGTTCCCTGGCCAGCCAGAAATCGAACCCATGCTGCAGAGGCTGCGGACAGCTTCACAGCGCTGCTCTTAACCCGCTGCGCCATGGGGGAGGCCCTCCATTTGATGTTTTAAAATAAAGAGATCTCCAAACCTCAGCCCTCAGGTGTCTGTATTATATACCCTTATGAAATGATTATTCTAGTTTCTAAGCTGCATTTACAGCATAATTCCATTATTTTTCTTTTTCCTGTAGTCTTGTGGGAGCTTCCTTATCTCCTTATATCTAGGTCTTGATTAGAAGTCCATGCTAACCAGTTTAAGATTGGTTATTAAAAATCTGTTGTGACCAAAATAACAAATAATATCTCTTTATGTTTAGTCAGCAGAACCTGCATCCTATTTTTGCCTGAGAAGGACTATGAGGTTTGGGAAATTTCAAAAATGGATGGGCTTAGCTTACAGATACAATATCCAAATTAGAAGCAGGGAGTGAGTTTGCACCTGGAGGTGAAGGCACAGTCACATGGTTCAGGTCTGCTCAGAGTACTTACCTAGTTGCCATTCTTTCCCCACTGCAAGCAAAGCAATTACAATTTAACCACAAGCACCAATTTAACCATAGGCACTGGCAGTGTAAAAACAAGAAAGGAAAGATAAAAGTGAGGGTGAGTGAGTCAGGAGGGGGGGAAAGCTCCCCACAAGCAATCTGCCTTCAGCTTGGAGGCCACATAATATAAGCAACCCCACTGGATGGAGACAGCTGACTGGGAGTATATGGAACCTTTCACTCTACCCTAAATATCCAGAAAAGACAGGATATGTAATTTTTAAAAATCCCCACGCATGTTAGCAAGCATGGAGAACTCTTGGCATACCAGACACCATTAGCAAAAAGATACAAAGTAAAGGGGCAGATTTTTATCCTTCCTGAAAAAGGAAACCACAGCTCAAAATACTCAGAGAGCTGCTACAAAAAGAAACAGGCCGGCCTCCCCTGGTGGCACAGCAGGTTGACGGCAGTGCTGTGAAGCTGTCCACAGCCTCTGCAGCATGGGTTGGATCCCAGCTGGCCAGCGAGGGTCCCACATGGTGTGGCAGACCTCTCCTGTCTCGCCTGCTGCTCTCCTCAGCAGTGTGTTTCGTCAGTCTGCCTGTTCTGTTCCTCGCTCTGTCTCTGGTGAAACCTCTCACCCTCCTGCGCATCTGGACTGTACCCCGGTTCTTGTATAAATAAATAAATAAATCTTAAAAAAAAAAAAACAAATACAAAAACAAAGAGAAACTCTTATGTTTTAAAAAAAATTTTTTAAAAAAAAAAAGAAACAGGGGCTTCAGAGATGGCCCAACCAGAGGTGCTGGACATCAGAACAGGAGCCAGATGCTCAGGACAGACTCGCAACTCAGACAACTGTGTTCAGCCAGGAGGAAGCCTAGAAGGTGAGTTTGTGAGCCAAAACCAAGAAAGAACCATGGAGTTCTAAAAAGAATTTTTATGTGAGGAAAGTTAATACAGCTGAGAAAATAAAACTTTAGAAGATACATAGTAAATATTCTCAGAGAGATGTAAGAAGATATCATATCATATCATTAAAAAGAGATGCTAGATTTCATCACCAAAATAAACTCAACATGTAAGACAAACACCACAGTGTTTGTCTATAGCTAAAGAACAAACTAGTGAGCTAAAGAGTCTCTCTAGAATTGTCCAGTAGGCAGTCCAGCCATCTATGGTTCTTGAGCACAATTTTGTTGGTTTGGATTTGAAATGTGCTTTAAATGAGAAATACATGTCAGATCTTGAAAATGTAGTATAAGAAGATAAACTATCTCATTAATATATCTTTTAAAAATGTTGATTATAAGGTAAATGATATTTTGGATACACTGAATTAAGTAAAATAAGTCAGATAAATAATTGATGAGGATTTAACTGTTTCTTTTTACTTTTTTAATTTGGCTAATAGAAAGTCTAAAATTATGTGTGGGCCTCCCCGGTGGCGCAGCGGTTGAGCGCTGGGTTGGGAAGCTGCCCGTGGCCTTTGCAGCGCCGGTTCAATCCCTGGCTGCTCCCCGGCCACCAGAGGAGGGTCCCACATGGCGCAGACCTCTCCTGCCGCCCGCTGCTCCCCTCAGCAGTGTACTTCGCTTCTGCCTGCTCTGCTCCTTGCTCTGGTGAATTCTCTCACCCTCCCGCGCTTCTGACTGTACCCAGTGCATGTATAAACAAGCAAACAAACAAATAAATAAATAAATAAAACATGCCTCTATAAAAAATAAAAAAAAAAAATTAAAAAAAAATAAAATAAAATTATGTGTAATTTGCATTACCTTTCTATGGGACAGAACGGAGTGCTTAAGAATGGTAAAATATGAAAAGTGAAGTTATGGGACACATCTAGATGAGTCACATCTTGGTGTCCTTGCAAGAGAGAAAGAAAGGAGGTGAAGAAACACTGAACTGACAGGAAACATGGAGAACTGAACACAGGTGTTCTGAATGGGAAAGCACCCCGCCGATGCTGGAAACAAGGGAAAGATGCCAGTTTTGATTACTACCATTGATCACTGTCCTGAAGGTTCTTGGCAACACAATACCACAACGAAAAAGGAAAGCTACTTCGGGCCTTCCTGTGGCGCAGTGGTTGAGCGCTGGGTTGCGAAGCTGCTACAGTGCCGGTTCGATCCCCGGCTGCTCCCCGGCCACCGGAGGAGGGTCCCACATGGTGCGCAGACCTCTCCTGCCGCCCGCTGCTGCCCTCAGCAGTGTACCTCGGTCCTTCTGCCTGCTCTGCTCCCCGCTCTGGCTCTGGTGAATTCTCTCACCCTCCCACGCTTCTGACTGTACCCAGTGCTTGTATAAATAAATAATTAAATCTTAAAAAAAAAAAAAAAAAAAAAGGAAAGCTACTTCTATTTGCAGGAGAGATGACTGCTTCTGTACCCCCTGCCATTCCCCTTGAAGCCTGGGCACCAACAAACTTCTCCAGTCTATGCCCCAAGGCCCAGGCAAAAGAAGCAAATGTCAGCCCTTCCTTCTGCCCAGGTAGGGCTGGAATGATCCACGAAGAGTGAACATGAGCAGCCAAAAGCACAGAATGAAGCCATCATCCCTAGAATAAATGCTCGTGAGTGGAAGGAAGGGTGCTTACCGACGGATGGCATTAGCAAACTCTGCAGCCAGCTCACTGTCGTTGCATGTTGTCCTCATTTCAGCCAGGGACAAAGTTGGGGAGGCAGCGTCAGCACAGTCCTGAGAACAGCAAGCACACACTTGTTAGCCTGGGTCCAAGACTGAGAACACTGGGCAATACATCGCAGGTGACTGGAGCAAGGACCATCAACAAGCGCTGCCTGCCTTGAACCTGCAGCCTCCCAGCTGGGCGTGGGCAGCGACACTGCAGAGAGTGCTGAGTGCCTAGGGAACTGCGTGTGGGTCTAAGCACCACATATATTCACATATTTTATCATTGTGTCATTATGGGGCAGCTGCTTCACTGTCCGCGTTTCACCAAGGAGAGAACTAAAGCACAGGTACAGGACACGTGCCAAGTCACCAGTGAGGACACATGGGATCAGGAGTCAGACTCAGGTCGGCTGCTTCAGACGGGAGACCTCTTCACTCAGCAAAAACTCTAGTTACTCACAAAATACACCGCGTGTCCCTGCCCCTATCCCACTTCTCCTTGGGAGAACACTATCTTCTCTAGCTTTAGGAGGTATAGTGGGTTTGGTGTGGGCATCTAGAAAACCCAGGAAGGAGATGGACAAGTGCAGACCCACCAAGGTCTTCGCATGAGGTTGGAAGCTTGACACTAGCTAAATATCCTCTTGTTTACACATGAGGAAACATAAGAGCCAGAACTCTTGAAGCCTGAATCCAATGAACACTCTTCGGATACCAGTGATGCACCAGCAGAGCACTCCACTTTCTCTGTGCCTGGACGGAGCACAGAGCTGCACTGAGTAATAAAGTGGCTAGGGCAGGCTCTCATCTGATAATTTTCTGAACAGTCCTATACCAAGAATCTACCACACCCCGGCCAGAGAGTAAAAGGTGTGTGATCTGTCACATGAGAGTGAAAGTAATTGGAAAGTCATGTGAAGACAGTCTGAGAGGTACAGGCAGCATGAATCAGAGCTAGGGGTCTAGATGAGGGAGGGCACAGTCTCCCTCAACCCCTCTGACCTGGGGGGTTCGTCTCAAGCAGTCACATCTGAACCCCCTTCCCTTTATCATGCCCACCACCTGCAGCTCTTTCCCTGTATGCCAACTTCCAAGTAATGTTAACAATTCATGAGATTTAAGGACAGAGACTTCTTTATCCCACCTGCCTCTCACTGAACATGTTTGGTAATATCTATTGCATAGAGATAATAGCTACCAAAATCTAATGCAATGTGGATAAAATTTTTTGCTGCAGAGAAGTTTTTAAGTAGGGATGGCTATATCCTGTGGAGCAAGAATGAATGTTCTAGATCCAAATTTTTGCTGCTATCTGTTTTGTTAGGGTCCACAGGTTAAGAATTAGAACAATATCTTTTTGATGTATAGAAATCATATGTAATTCAAATTCCTTTGTCCATAGATAGTTATGAAATACAGCCATGCCCATTTGTATTATAGTCTGCTTTCATACTCTAATTCTGTAACAGCAAATTTGAGTAGTTATGTCTGTCCATGTGTCCCAAAGAATGCTAAAAAATTGACTGACTGGCTTTTTACCATTTGCCTCATCTACCAAAAAATAAGATCAAATAAACATCCCAGAATAGAGATTTCACTGAAATACTACATGGATCTAATATTTGAAAGACACGGAAATCAGTGTATTCTAATTTCACCACCTGAACTGAACAACACAAAGCACACTTAAAAAGCTTCTTACACTGGTGTAAAAATATTTTTAAATCATCTGACCAAATTACCTGTCCCACCAGAGATTTCTGTATTTTGAAGTCATTCCATAAAACATGTTGCTTCCCAAGTAAAAATAAATTCTGAGAACTAGCAGTTCATGGGTCTTTTGGTAAGATGCTGGCACGTTCATTTCCACCACACCCTAAGAGTTTGCACCCACAAACACTGGAGCTCTGTCTCTCAGACTCTGTCCCCAAGTGACCACTGACAAACTTGAAAGTCTATATAAAAATCTTAAGATATTTGCATGGAATGGAAAATCCCATCTCCTCCAACCCCGGATACTATATGAAACAGCACTTCGTGGACACAGATGGCTCATGGTACACATGCACAGGTGCCTCTCCAAAGCCCAGAATGTGTCACAGTGTCTCCTGCAGCAAACCCTTCAGTGACTCATCACTGTCCATCAGGCCAACTTGTCCAGCTAATGGGTCAATTCCTCTGGTTCCCCATTCTGCCCTGGCCCTCTGTCCCTGCTTGCTCCAGCTCCCTACAGGGTCTCAGTCTAGGAATCCTGCTGTGAATCCCCACATTTGGATTTTGTGCTTGGTTTGTGGCCTCCTACCACACTCCGAATTGATCCTACCATTCAGGATGTAGTTCTGCCTTATTGTTATCTGCTTGTCCATCACTGTCTTCTCTGGAACCCAAACTCCTGGAACTGCCCCCAGCACCTTGCCAGGATCAAACCACATCTAACAAATGAACATAAGATTGAGAAGCACCAGGGTCCTGGTGGATCTGGCCTTGGTGGACACTCTACTCCCTCCCTTAGCTCCTTAGCAGGTGCGAGGTGGGCAAAGTGTACCTGTGAAAGACATTTAAAATTTCTTAGCTATTTAGGGCGCCTCCCTGCTGGCCTGGGCAGTAAGTCTCAGTACTATCACCTCAATGGCCTGAGTTTGATCCCTGGCCAGGGAGCCACCCAAATGGTGCAGCAGACCTTTCCTGACTCGCCTGCTGCTCCCCTCAGCAGTGTATCTCAGTCAATCTGTTCTGTTCCCCACTTTGTTTCTGGTGAATCCTCTCACCCCACCCCCCCAACCTCTGGCCTATATACCAATTCTTCTATGCAATAAATAAATAAATATTTAAAAAAATTCTTAGCTAGGGCCTCCCTGGTGGCGCAGGCAGTTGGATGCTGCGCTGTGAATCTGTCTGTGGCCTCTGCAGCGCGGGTTCAATCCCGGCCGGCCAGCGAGAATCCCACATGGCGAAGCAGACCTCTCCTTTCTCGCCTGCTGCTCTCCTTGTAAAAATAAAAAAAAATAAATCTTTTAAAAAAAAATTCTTAGCTATTTAGAAAGAACTACCACATGGCCCTAGCTAGTTGCTTCCTTTCCAGCTACACAGCTCTTCTTGAGGTGCCCCTTCTCAGGGCTGTGAGAAGCCACTCATAATACCAGCAAAACAGCACATGCTCCCACATTTCTGGGCCTGACACAAATTGCCATCAGAGGTGATATTTATAAGGAACAGAAAATAGGATACACAAGATTTCCACACCCTGGGATGAGGGATAAGACACTTTAGGACTTAGAGCTTCTTTCCCCCTCTAATACAGTATTTTTTTTTTTTAGAGATTTATTTATGCATACAAGAGCTGTGGTACAGGCCAGTGATGCGGGGGGTGAGAGGATCCACCAGAGACAGAGTGGGGGACAGAAAAGGCAGACTGACTGAAACACACTGCTGAGGAGAGCAGCAGGTGAGACAGGAGAGGCCTGCCTTGCCATGTGGGTTTCTCCCTGGCCGGCCAGGGACCAAACCCATGCTGCAGAGGCTGCAGACTGCTCCATGGTACAGTGCTCAACCCCTTGCGCCACCAGGGAGGCCCTCCAATACAGTATTTAGAATAATGCCGAGATATGGTATGGTGACTTGAACTGAATTCTAGAAAATAATTGTAGGTTAATGGGTGTGAGTTTGCAAGATGATAGCCCTGACAGCCCCTCTCTGTGATATCGTCTATAACTCAGAGCTGGCCTTCCCGGCTTGCTTCGTACATTGAAGATATCTCAGGGGGGGCAATGCAGACAAGAGGAGGGGGCTTGTTAGCTAGATTTGGGTTGTCTCAATTCTGCCATTTATTAGATGCTAACACATCTCATTTTCCTCATGTAAATGGGAATAACTACTCCTTCCTTGGAATTCTGTATGGTTTGTGCAGAGGGATCAATCTATGATGGTTGCTGTGTGACACACGACAGATAAGGTGAAATTATTATCAGACCTTAGGACAGCTAAGTCCCTCCCCCATTAAGACTGTAATGTGAGATAATGTTTCCACTGTGATATAAAGGGAGAATTTTTAAAAATGTGGATTTCGTCTCTTTGCACTTAAAATATCACCTTCTTTCAGATCTTGAGAATGGCTGGTGGTTTCTATGCACATAAGGAAAATGGGGTAGCATGGCAGGAGATGTGGGGTGGTAAGGCAGGCAGTGAGCTGCTCGGGCTGTGCCCTCTACCTTGCCAGGCTTGTCCCTGCCGCTGCTGCTAGTAGAGCTGAGGGACCGCATGCGCTGCTCCTTCTGCTCCTCCACCTCTGACTTCAGATGCTCGATGTGAACCAAGTAGGCCTGTTCCTGCGCCTCCCGCGTGCTCAGCTTCAGCTCCAGGGCCTTCTTCTCCTTCTCCAGTAGGTAGAGCTGGGCCTTCAGTTCAGCCATCTCCTCCTGTGGGTACAGAGAAGCCAGTGTGAAGAGGGATGTGATCAGGACCTTGAACTATTGGTAGCTATTGGTTGGGGATAAGACAGTATGGGCAGGAGACACAATAGTGGTTTCTACACACCAGAAGGACTGACATGTGACAAATTGTGTGTTATGTCACTCCGTGGACCTGAATTGAGATGAACAGGTAAAATTGCAGGCAAGAAGATCTCTGCTCATTATAAGGAAAACCTTCCTAATAATTAGAATTCCTTACTCCCCCCCAAATGGCCATACTTTCCTGTCAGAAGCCACCTATCTGGCATGCAGGAGCTGAGCATCACCAGTCAAAGAGGATGCAGAGGAGGCAGCACTGATTTGGCTAGGCCTGAACAGGTTCCATCCAATTTCTTTTCTATGGCACCAGTCCATGCAGTCAACCACCCTGATGGCACTCTTGGTGGCCTGCAGCTGAGCCATCAGGTGGGGTGCACCCACAGCAATGACATTGCTGGTCTTGTCTACTTCAGGGAGCCCAAACACGATCAATAGAAATAAGCCCTTCACAGGTGACTGCTCAAAAATAACTTTTAAAAGTTTGCTAGAGAATTCAAATTAGCGTTTTCTGTGGAAAACAAAAGGTGAATTCAAAATGAACACTGCTATCCTGGGACCAAGAGCCAGATAACAAAGATGCACCAGAGGTGCCCCAAAGTTAGGCAGGGCCACCCCAGACCCCTCCAAGAACACATCTAAACCCTGTGACTTTGACCTATTGAAATTGTCCTTGTCTGAAAGTGGGCTCTGATGCTCTTCCAGGGACATTTTCATATTTCTTTCTGATGAATTGATGTGAATGGGAACAGAGTTCGAAACAGCCCGCCACAGGTACCTTCATGGCCATGAGCTCCTGCATCAGCACCGCGTTCTCCAGATCCAGCCGCTGGCTGTCTCCACGGGGCTTGACATCGTAGCTGAGTGGGTCTATGTGGATGCTCTCCAGCTCCAGCATGGTCAGCTTCACAGCCGCCCTGTCATTCTTCAGCTGCTGGATATAGTCCTTCAGCCTCTGCTCATCTTCTTTGGTGAACTCAGTGTCACAGCTACTGGCTGTAGAGCTGGTGGTGCTGAAAAGAGGAAGAAAACAATCAAATTCCCACATCAGTACTAACAGAGCCTTCCTTACTCATCCACACAGTCTTTCCAACAGTCTAGACACTGTATACACTATATGCGGTAGTAAAAAAAAAAACCCAAAACCAATCTTCATGGCACAATGAATTGGTATCTCCTTCTAGGAAAGGAATGAGTATGGAGAATAACAGAAATGTTTAACATTTACAGGGGCTCTAGAAATGAATTCTAAGGAAATAATTCTACAGGCACAATAAGATACATACAAAGCTGTTTCATGGAATATAGGGTTTAGTACATTTCAAAAGGAGGGAAACTATGTGGACATGACAGTATTTTGACAACAGTGAACATCGTTTCAACATGGAAATAAAATGAAAAACATTCTGCAATAAAAATAGGAGGACATGCGGATATGACCTTAAAGAAGGGAGATGTCAAGTGAACAAAGTAAGTTGAAGAACAAAATACCTGTGGCATGATCTGTAGACATGTGCATATATCTACACACAGGCTTCAGATGGCCAACAGCACCTCTGGTTGTAGATGCTGGAAGCGATTTTGTGCCAGGAAGCCACAGGTGTGGTTATGCACAGGTGCATAACACTGAAATCACAACTCAGAAAACAGGGTCCCCTGAGACACAGCATGTTGATTACAAATCAACATTGAGTACAGTCCACCACAAGGACTCAGGTGGGCCAACAGGTCATTGGCCACCCATGCTGAATGGTGACAGGTTAGGGGCTGACAGACTTGAGCTGCATTTGACTGAACACAAGGAATGTGGTGGCCTGTGAATGAACTCAGACCACTGTGAAAGGACTCTATCATTGGGAAACTGAGGCTGTAGCTCTTTGAAAATTTCTGGCCTTTTCCAGCAGTGGATAGGCAGTCCCCACTGGTTTGGAGGGGCCTACTTCATCCAGTGAGTCCTCTCACATTTGAGACCAGTGTGGACCTACAGAAGTTCTTCTGGGCCTCCACTGGACCCACCTATACCAATCCTCATGGAACTGATTTTGGAAAGACAGCAAAAAAACCAAGCAGGGGCCCATTTAAGTCTTGTCAAAACAGGCCAGTTTGCAACAAAAAATTACTGGGGAGGATGTGGAAAAAACGGAAATCTTTTATACTGCTGGTGGGAATGCAAACTGGTCCAACTACTATGGAAAACTGTGTGGAAAACCCTCAAATTACTAAAAATGAATCTATCATATGACTTAGCAATTCCACTCCTAGGACTGGTGGACACAAAAACATTAATTTGAAAGGAAACCTGCACTCCTATGTTTATTGCAGCACTATTTATAATATCTAAGATATGGAAACAATCTAAATGTCCAAAAACAGATGAATTGATCAAGAAGATGTGTATGGGGCCTCCCTGGTGGCACAAGGGGTTAAGACACAACCTATGAAGCTTACCGCAGCCACTGCAGCATGAATTCAGTAGGGAGCAGCAGATCTCTCCTGACTTGCCTGCTGCTCCCCTCAGCAGTGTATTTCAGTCAATCTGCCTGTTCTGTTCCCCTTTAGCTCTGGTGAATCCTCTCACCCCCCACACCTCTGGCCTGTATGCCAGTTTTTGTATGCATAAATAAATAAATCTTAAAAAAAAAAGATGTGTATGTATACATAATGGAATACTATTCCACAATCAAAAAAGATAAACTCATGCCTTTACAGCAACATGGATGGAGCTGGAAGAGATTATGCTCAGTGAAATAAGACAAAAGGAAAAAGAAAAATATCAGATAGTTTCATTTATAGGAGGAATACAGGGAAACTGAATAAGGGATTAGGAAAAAAAAAAGACAAAACTAGCAGGCAACTTTAAAGAGGAAGAGGGAGAAAGGGTCAAAATAGGGGAGGGAAGAGCACAAGAGACTATGGTGATGGTTCACGGGTAATGTGGTGGTAGAAATTTTATGGGGACTACACCTGAAGGGAGAAATCAAGCATAGTACAAAAATGAACAGTGCTGTAAAAAAATTTAATTTAAAAAAGTGAAACAGGCAAGGTTGTCATTATCATCTCTATCATTACAGATTTGGAAAATGAAGTTCAAAGGCATTCAGTGTCTTGCCCAGTCCTAAGAATGGATATTGGTGCAACTGATCTTGAGCCTTACTCCTCTCATTCTTAGCCCCATCTTCTTGAGCTTCCTGTTGCTATAGTGTGCCAGGAGCAAACAGCAATGTCCACAGGCTGCCCTCTTCACCTCAGTTAGAATATAGGTAACAGGCCTAGAACCTCCGCTCCCTGAATGCACTCTCCTCCCCATCACTGGGTTTGACCAAGGGCAATTCCCTTCTTGTTCATGACACATTATCAAGAAAACAAGGTTCCCGAGAGAGGGGAGAGGAGAGAATGTGGACGGGCATTCTGAAGCTTGAGAAAAAGTGCATCCAGAGCTGGGAGTGCACTTCAAGTCAGAAGACTCCTGAGTATCTTCCCTTCCCCACTCCCCATAATCCTATCAGGTCACGAAGTATGTTCCCCTGAAGACAAATGGAGCGAGATCAACCCAACAACATACAACTCTTCAGAGGTTTTGTGATGGTTAAATTCCTAAGTCAACTGGGCCATGGTGCCCAGCTGCTTGGCCAAACACCTGTCTAGATGTTGCCATGAAGTTACTTTTTAAATGGGATTAATTTTAAATTGGTAGCCTGTGGGCAAAGTAGATCAGTCTTGTGAGCTTGTGATGTGGGTTGGCTTCATCCAGTCAGTTGAAAGCCTTAGGAGAAAAGATTGAGATCTCCCAAGAAAGAAGAAATTCTGTCTCCAGTCTTTGGATTTTTTTTTAAGGATATATTTATTTCTTTTTCTTTTTTTTTTCATTTTATATATTTTTTACATCATTTTTCATTTTTGTATAATGTATGCATTTTCATCTCAGTTATAATTCCCATACAATACAATTCCCACCCCCTTGTTTTGATCCTACTCCCTCCTCCTCCCCCGCTGTAGTTTGTCTCTGGTTCACAGCTGCTTGTTGATTTTGATTTATACTTTATTAGTCTTTTTCCTGGATCAAGAAGATGTGGTACATAAACACAATGGAATATTACTCAGCAATCAAAAAAAAAAGATAAACTCATGCAATTTGTAGCAACATGGATGGAGCTGGAAATACCTGATTGTCTCACTCATTGCAGGAATTTAGAAAACCCAAATAAGGAACCAGTCTTTGGATTTTGACAGCACCGACTACTCTTCCTTGGGTCTCTAGTCTGCCTGTGTGCCATGCAGATTTAGGACTTGCTACCTTCTCCAAGCACTTGAATCAATTCCTTAAAATCCATTAATCCTTTCTGTATACATACATACACACACATGCATGTATGTCTATATGCACACACACACCCTATTGAATCTATTTCTCTGGAGACCCCTAAAACAAAGGTGATATCTTTGTGAATGACCCACACATCTCATACACTCTGTAGATTTGGAGGTGGCATGACTGAACCTCTTTTTGCCTATTTTCCTCATCTGTAAAATGAAGGTAACACTAGTGTATGCTTTACAAAGTTGTGATAAGGATTAAATGTGAAAAATGTGAAGAATTTAGCACAGTTACTGGTATATAGTAAGCACTTAATAAACACAGCTGCCACTTATTTAAGAATCATTGGACTGCCTACTACAGGCACTTTTCTAGGCCCTAGAACAATTCCTGACCTTATTTAGAGGAGAAAACCAAGTAAAATATATCGTATATTAGTGAGAATTACCACAGAGAAAAATCAGGTATACGGAGCACTAGGTGGGCATGGAATAATTGAAATAAGTTGTAGGAAATAGAGTTGTGATAAAGTCACATTTGAGTAGATTTAAGGGAGGTGAGTGATTGAACATGGCCAGCAACAATGACTCAAAATTGGAGTCAGATTCAGGACAGGAAGTAGGAGAACTGATCAGAGGAGGGGGATGTGTGTGGGATGGGTTACATGTTTATAGGACTGTGTCTTTTTCTCTAGAATTAGATTTGAAGCCTCTGGAAGGTTTGCAATAGAAGAGTCAAATTATCGGCCTTACATTCTTTTTTTTTTTTTAAAGAGGCATGTATTATTTATTTATGTATTTGTTTGTTTGTTTTGTTTGTTTGTTTATACATGCACTGGGTACAGTCAGAAGCGCGGGAGGGTGAGAGAATTCACCAGAATTCACCAGTCATTGTTGCTGGCCAGAGCGGGAAGCAGAGCAGGCAGAAGGACCGAAGTACACTGCTGAGGGAAGCAGTGGGCGGCAGGGAGGTCTGCACGCCATGTGGGCCCCTCCTCCAGTGGCCGGGGAGCAGCTGGGGATCGAACAGGCGCCGCAGAGGCCGCGGGCAGCTTCGCAACCCAGCGCTCAACCGCTGTGCCACCGGGGAGGCCCTATCTGCCTTACATTCTAACAGGATCCCCTGGTAGCTCTGCTGAGGCAAGGGCTGGGGGCTACTGCAACAATCCTGGAATGGGGCAGGAAGAAGGATAAATGAGTTATTAATTGCTGTGATTGTGTTACCTCAAGCTGTATTTTCTCCAGTTGTAAAACTCCAGATGAATGTTTATAATGAAACGAAACAGCTCAAAAGCAACATGTGGCAAGTGGCACCCTCACCAGAGGGCACTGGGGAGCCTGCTGTCTGGAATCTGGGATGAGAGCTGCCCAACAAGAAGGGTTTGTCCTGAAAGAACCAGGTCCTGCCATTGGCATCCTCAGCAGAGACCAGCCTATCGATGGCTCTGTGGCAGCTTCCTACTCTCCCTCGCTTTCAGGGATTGTCAGCATTGATGTGGAGGGTCAGGGCTAATGTTCCATAGACAGAGGAACAAAACACAATTAAAGCAAATGGAAGCGGTGGCTTTGTTCATAAAGCATTCCACAGCGCTGAGGGTCAGCTGCCTCTGAGGGGGTGGAGGGTGGTGCTGGGAAATAAGACTTCTCTTCCAATGAGTTGGAAAGAGGCTTCAGGTAAGAAATCCAGCTAGACCTGGAG